GGGCGGCACACTGTCGACAGCTGGCAGCACGTGGGTGGCACACTGTCGACTGCTGGCAGCACGGGGGCGGCACACTGTCGACTGCTGACAGCATGGGGGGCGGCGCGGTGTCGACTGCTGGCAACACAGGGGTGGCACACTGTCGACTGCTGGCAGCACGGGGGCGGCACACTGTCGACAGCTGGCAGCACGGGGGCATTTAATAATAAATATAATAATAATGATTAGACAAAACATGAACACAAACTATTTTGGGTTCATACTGTCTGCAATGAAATAAAAGTCGAAGTAAATTTCAGAATCACTGTTTTTTTTAATTTGCATTTTCCATTCCGTTCTAGCTTTTCCTGATTTGGGGTTGTAGGATCTGTGAAATATTGTGGGACAGAGAGGACCACATAGTTTAAAATAATGATCAGAACACCCGGAATTGTAACAAATCAAGGCTTTTACTATGAAAATTAAGGAAAATCATATAATTAAGCAATATAACAATGAAAATACAGCCAGATCAATACAGTGATACTGTTTACACACAGCAAGGCTATCTTTTACTACAGTGAAGGAGACCAAAATCATTAAACTGAGCCATAAAACTATGAAAGCACTGCAAATGCAGTAGAAGTCTACAATGATACTGTTTCCATGCAGGAAGTCTGTCTCTGCTCTTCCTCCCATCCCTGTCCCTGACCAGCTGGGATTAACCATGCTAGGCCTGAATGTGCCAGGATGCTTCTGCGGACTCTGCTCCCTCTGGCTTTGTTAAACCAGCAAGTAAATATGCACCAGGAATACAAACCAGCACTATGCAAAAATGATCTCCTGGACAGAGTGGATGATGGAAAATGATCTTCCAGCTGCTGTTCCTGGTCAGAGTCGCGGGGGGGGGGGGGGGGGGGGGGGGGGGGGGGGGGGGGTGTGGTCGCGGGGGGTGGCCTTTGCCAGGCAGCACAGGCCACAAGGCAGCGGTTCACTCTGGGCAGGAGACCAGTGTGTCACAGCGCTCACAGTCAGTCAGACTTAGTCAGATTACTTATCTTTGGACTGCCCACAAGGGGGAGCCCTACACACACAAAGCAGAAGCAGGGTTCAGCACTGAGGGTGTGACCCATAGATTATTACATACATGAATACAACTGGGACTGCATCCAATTTCGTTGTACTTGTACAATGATAATAAAGATTCTGAAACTGAATCTTTGTCCAGAAAAAGGCACCAGACACAAACTGACAAACTGCCTCAGTTCACTGAGAGTGACTGAGCCAAAGGGCTGCTCCAGACTGCCCTATAGTCACTGCAGCTCCAGTGTGCTTTATGATGGTCACTGCAGCTTCAGTGTGCTTTATGATGGTCACTGCAGCTTCAGTGTGCTTTATGATGGTCACTGCAGCTTCAGTGTGCTGTATGGTCACTGCAGCTCCAGTGTGCTCTATGGAATCAGCTCTGGAAGGGACTGCTGCCCCTGTAGAGGCGTCCTTATGGAGGGAGGGTCGATCAGGAGGAGTGGAGCCACAGGTGAGGGAGACCCCTAAAATGGTTGATTACTGATATTGGTAGATGTCATTTTACTTGATCACCATAAATGCATCATTTGTAAATAAATAATCAACTTACTTTTCATTGATAAATTTTATAAAACTTTCAGAGATCCTGTATTAGTTATCCAAAGATGAATGAATGAATTTAATATTTTATGAAAATCATTTTTATGTTTATGTGTGCAAACACGACAAAACCATTCCAATGAGACCTTTCGGTGGATCAGAGAGTCAGAGAGGAATTCCGGCGTAGAAATGAAGCCAGCGGTACTTCATTAGGTATATCTCGCTTGGTGTATGCTGGAGATATTGATGTTCTTTTATATTCAGGTTTCAGTGTTGCCAACGATAACAGAACATGATGGTCCTGATATTTTACCTGGTTTAACTGCAGTAAGCTGGTTTTCGGACTGCAGCGTATACGATTGCATCATCATGGCTCTCCGCGTTACTGACATCAAACCTGCAGCGTTTTAATATACATGTTTAAGTATTAACAGCCAGAAAGGGGTCTTTCGTTTTTAATTCTAAAACATAAAACTGCTTTTGGTATTTCTGTATTCTGACCCATACAGATGAAGTGAAATGAGCAAGATTCACACTCACTGCCTGTCTGGTGGTTTGGTGTTAAACTGCACGGAAGCATAAGAGACTTCCTCTCCCTGAAACGGGACTTCCTGTCTCTCACTCCTGGTCTGAGAGGCAGACTTTGTAATGTCTGCATACTCGTTATCTTCTGTGATCTATAGATGGAGAAAGACAAAGGGAAATTTTATTGTACAAATAAATCAGGCATTTTTATAATTAATTGTGTTGAAGTAAAAAAGAAAAGAAAATCCACAATTGTGCATCAGATTGCTGGGATCAAAAAGTACTATAGAATATATAAGAATGATCTTATAAATAATCAACTTAAAAATATAATCATACCCTTAAAATAGGTTCATAAACACATCAGACTTACTTGATTTCCCCCCCCTCTGTCATTTGGCACATTCAGTGAATTTCTCTTCCTTCTGAGAGACACAGACCGTAATAAAATATTTTTTGATTTCAAATTACATTCACCACACCCTATATTTACACAAATTAGATCAATTGCAAAAAAAAATTTAGTATTTTCACATAAAACTTTAAAAATCAGATAAAATTAATTTATAATAAAGTATCAAACAAACCAATCATGAGGTTTGTTCCAGTTAAAGCCCCAGGAATGTTCCCACAGACACTAGTGTCTGAGACTGGGATGGGGGAGTTACCATGGAGACACAGGGGTCACACTGAGCACTGAGTGAGCTCTGCTAACCAGCCAACTGGGGTCCAGTTAGGCTAACTGTTTAGAAGTGATCAGCTGTGAGGATAAAGGGAAGGGAAAACAGCGGGGACTGGAGAGAGAAGGGGGGCTCTTGGGGTGGGGGGGGGGGGGGGGCAGCTGAGGGCATCACCCTGGGTTTCTCCTTGGTACACTGGCTTTGATTATGTTAATTTAGGGGCTTCCTTGGTGACATATGTGTGTTTGTGTCGATGAGCATGATGATCACAGAGAGGATGATGGGAAGCCAGTTACCCGAGTCTCGGAATAAACTGTAAAATCAATCAATAACAAATATCACAAATCATTTTAAAAACCATACATTATTTTACAGTGAATGAATAATAAAACACTCACCTCATTATGCAGATTGTTACAGCTAAAACAGCCAGTAGTATCCCCAGACACACTAGTATCACTGTCATCAGGTTACTTTCAGCTGAAAAGGCACAAACACATTGTAATAAGGGAATCCAGTGTAAATATGTGCTGTATCAATTAAATGTGCATGTTAATCAAGCCAACGTGTGTGTGTTTTTTAATCATGGACATTTTATTCTTCTGCCTTAATCTAAGTAACTGTTACTCCTTATTCTGTTTTTATGGGTATTTCTATGCATTTTTGAGCATTTTGGACAAAAGTTTTGTGAACAAAATTTTGAGAATGTTGTTGATTTCCAGGATCAGATTACATACTCACATTGAATATTAAGTATAATGGTATTGGACACAACCCCTATGTCTCCTTTCAATGCACAGGAGTAATTTCCAGAGTGATTATAGGAGACGCGGTTGAAGTGAATTGTGGGCATTGTGTCTGTGATCTGCTGGTTGTCCTTAAACCAGGTGAATTCTGATTGGCTGAGAGAGCAACTCTCTGAACCACATGTCAGATTCACAGAGTCTCCTTCTGCCAATAATCCCTTTCTTGCAGATGAGGTCACCATCACCTTTAATTCTGAAATCATACCCAGAAGAACAAGCAATAGGGTTTTTCTGCATTACTGCGTGAGGTATTTCTGTCACAGACTCTAACAACAAACCCTAAAGCTGTAAATCAGCATTATTGTTCAGAGCCGCATGTTATGCACTGAATCACAGTAGCTTCTCACTGCTATAATCTCCTTGCTGCTACACATGTTCTTCTCAGAGCTGGTATTCTCCTGTTCATTAATGAGCCCCGTCAGCAGTATCTGACTCAGTAATTTCTAAATAAAAATAGGCATAGAATACAAACATTCTGGTTATGCTGTGTGATACAAAAATAAGGTGAAAGTGACGGACAGTACAGACTAGAGGTCGACCGATATATCGGCCGGCCGATATATCGG